AGGATCATTTAATTTTCGCGGGTTGAGGGAAATGGTTCGTGGAGGAGTCTTTTAACAATGGGGGAGCCAGTTAGCTGTACTGGATCTTTTTTCTATGAAAACCTCTCTTCGCCTTCCCCATTGTTCAAAGACTCCTCCACGAACCGGTTCCCTCAACCCGCGAAAATTAAATGATCCTGCGCGAAAATTAAATGATCCTCCACGAAACCAATATCCGCGAGCGCTAAACTATATGAATCTGAGTACGAAATAAAAAGCGCTACCCACGAAGTTAATACCATCACCCACGAAACCAAAAGCGTAGCCCACGAAACCAAAACCATCACCCACGAACTCATATATGATTATGCACGAAAAAAACATCATCACCCACTAAACCATATACCTCAACCACGAAATCATTATCCTCATGTTCCTGTTCATCTTGGAAATCCTGTACCACTACCACTACCACTACCGCGACCACTGCTACTGCCATTACCATTGCCACCACCATTACCAACAACACTCATGACAATCATGCTGTTGTTGAGCCTCTTCCTGAATTGGCACATGTACCAGATACTGTAATGAGGTCATAGTTGCTCGCGAGGAAATGGCATACAGAGATTGGATCCATCGTAAGCGTCGTATAGACGATGATCAAGAAGAGGATGCACGGCAAGTAGAAGCTATATTGCGCCGAATGGAAGCAAGAGGAGAAGAACGAAGGCAAATAGTACCAAACATGGCAGATCATCCGACTACTTATCGCGATGTAATCAACAACGAACAGCAATTTGAGCGATACCTCGAAGCTATCAGAGACGATACGACTGCCTTGGAATATTTCGAAGATGTTCTCCATGAAAGAAGGAGACGCAGAATCAAGGGGTAAATCGCCTACGCCGTTTTACTCGCAACACCTTTCATCTATAGATTCTCATTGTTTTTTTCTTCATGTCTCTTTCCACTTTTTAGTATACAATAGACTTTCAGTCGTATTTACCCTATAGTGGCTCTTTATTAAGTCCTTTTCATTTCTTTATACATTAGTCATGGCACTTCTGATCTACTCCGTTTACATTGTGTCGAGATCTTGATGCGCCAAACCACGTTTTCTCTATAGGTCGTCCTAAGAAAGCAGTCAACGTCGTATCTTGGCCAAGTGAAAGCATTATCTAGGTCAAGTGAAAACATTATCTAGCTCAAGTGAAAGTTTAAGTTGGATCAAGTAAAGTATTAACTAAGTTAAGTGAAAACGTCATCAACGTATCAATGCAATCTCATTTTACTCTACCACCCGTAAATCACTCTGCCGGATAAACTTTTAACTCCCGATCCGTAGTTACACAGGCCCCCCACCCGTAAAATTTCAGAAGGGGCTATTGCAGTAAGGAAGTATAGCAAGCTGCTTGTACTTTGTAATGTAGGTGCAAAAACTGGTAACAAGAGTAACTCAGTGAGATTGCGTGTGGATTGAAAAAGCAACACCTATCACGCTATGAATGCAATGGTCCTTTTATATTTGTGAATGTCATGATTACTACCGATAGGATTGAAGATTAAGATGTCTAGCTAAGGGTATATGTCTCATAATAAAAATAGAGGTTGTAGTCATTATTAGCTATTACTTGTATGGTGATGTTTCATTGTGACAGGATGAGTAGTGACCAGCACTCTCGGTGAAGACCGTTATTCGTTATGTTTATCACATTGCCCTCCTCCAGGTCTTTGCAAGAGGGTGCTTACAATGTGTCTGAGAGTATGTGTGTGTGTATGTGTAAGAGGTGATAATGTGTAATCATTATGATAGTTTTTTTGTACGTCTTGTGGATCGGCGGACGTGTGTGTGGTATGTGTTACGCTTTCGTTTCTTATACTGGTTCGTGTTGTTATGCGGATTAAATGATTGGGTGTTGAATTCATTAGGTGATTCTCCTAGTCGTTTCCAGTAATCGTGGATTGTTTTTTTTTTGTGTGAATGACTCCGCACTTTCCCACGTATCGTCTTCCGGTTGATAGCCTTCCCATCGTACTTTATATATGTATGTACCCGGTGTTGTCTCCTTATGTGCTACAATGCGATCTACTACATATAGATCATCACACTCTTCTGGTGTGTCATGTGATATAAGTTTAAGTTGCGATGGCGCGTAGTCCATACCCAATAGCTCGCCTAATTCGTCTTGTAAGACATAGGTACCTCCTGTCGTCTTCCTTACGATCCTATAAGGACCTTCATACTCTGGTTCTAGTGTTCCTTTTTCTCTTTGTGTTTTTACCATTACATGGCTATGTATACGGTAGTCTACCATTACGTGTTTTTTGTCAAAAAGGTCTTTTTGTGCTTTAATGGTTGCTTGCACTCTTTCATTTATGGCAGGGAATACCACTGTTTCCATGGCTGTGATTCTCTCTTGTAAATCTCTCATCGTCATTGGTCGAGTACTTTGCTCGTTTCTGTAGTCTGAGAACGTATTCATTTTTCTCGCAAACGTTAAAGAATACGGTGATGTGTCATGCCGTGATGATACCTTGGCATTTATGGCTAATTGTACACTTGGCACGAAAAAATCCCAATCCTTAATGGAGCCTTTGATTAACTTTTTTAAGGTCTTTACTGATGTCTGGACCCATCTCTCTGCCACTCCATTGGCTCTTGGGTGATATGGGGTGACCAACCTGTGGTCAAATCCCGTGCTCTCTGATAATTTGGTAACGAGGGTATTCACGAATTCTTTTCCATTGTCTGATTCAAGGTAACGTGGGAAACCAAAGACCCCAAATACTTGTATTAATGTCATTACAATAGTATCTGATTGTTTGTTTGGGATGGCTCTTAATACACAAAATCTGGTGCATAAGTCAATCATTACTAGTAAGTAGGTATTATTTCTAAATGTTGGCCTAAAGGGTCCTGCTAAGCTTATTGCCCAGTGGTCTGCTGGGAGGAATGCATGTATAGGTCTAAGTGGGTGGTATCCTTTTTTACAATGTTGAATTTTTGGCATTCTGTGCATTTCTTAACTGTGTCAGCTGCTTCTTTGTTTATATTGGGCCAATGTATTCCGTTGCTGTGCAACGCTTGTACCATGGCATTTGCTCCGAAATGGCCAAACAAGTGCTGCTGCTCTAATATGTGCTGCCTTTCTTCTTCTGGTGGTTGAATCATATCCTGTAAATCATCTTCTGCATTCTGTACATCAATGGCTCTTGTGACAATGTTACTCTCTATGCCCTCCTCCAGCTCTTTGCCTGAAGGGAAAAGACGAGACAATTGATCTGGGAGTATGTTGTCAAGGCCAGGTAGATGTATGATATCAAAATTGTATTGTAAGAGGAGATCAAGCCAATTGATCATCATTGGGTTCGCAACACGTTGCGTGTGGAGATAAGTTAATGCGCGGTGGTCTGTATATAGGGTAAAGTGATTGCCCCAAAGGTATTTGTGAAATTTGTCAAGCGCGTATACAATGGCTAAGAGCTCTCGTTTAGTTGTCGAATAGTTTCGCTCTGATTTGGACAGAACTCTAGCCATAAAAGCAATGTGGTGGGTTTCACCATTGATAACTTGGTACAACACAGCGCCTATGCCCACATTTGAGGCGTCGGTGGCTACCGAAAAAGGGTGTCGTAGGTCTGGATATCGTACCAAGGGGGCTCTTTTGAGTATCTCTTGCAGGGTGACAAAGGCATTGGAATGGGCAGTGGTCCATAAATGGGTAATGTTGCCAGCATGGCGAAAACCATCTAATGCTGCAGTAATAGAGGAGATATTAGGTATGTGCTCGCGAAAGTAATTCACCACACCTAAAAATCGTTGTATGTCTTTGCCTGTTTGAGGCACTGGCCATGTGGCAATATTGGCAACCTTTCTGCGATCAAGTGTAACGCGCTCAGCCAAAACACAAAAACCCAGTAGATATACAGCTTTTTGTGCAAAATGGCACTTATCAGGGTTGAGTATAAGATTTACTTGTGTTAAGTCCTCGATAGCTTGTGCAACATGTGCTGTATGTGTATGCATATCTTTAGAGAATATGATGATATCATCGCCAAAGCATAATACATGCTCTTGCATGTCTTGGAAAACGATATTCATGACTCTTTGGAATTTCGAGGAGATAGGTTTTAACCCAAAAGGGCATCCCCTAAACATGTATTGCATGCCTTTGAATGTGAAGGTGGTCTTACAGGATTTCCAAGATGCACAGGAACATGAGGATAATAATTTCATGGTTGAGGTATATGGTTTCGTGGGTGATGATCTTGGTTTCGCGCATAATGATATATGAGTTCGTGGGTGATGGTTTTGGTTTCGTGGGCTACGCTTTTGGTTTCGTGGGCTACGCTTTTGGTTTCGTGGGTACGGCCTTTATTTTCGTGCTCAGATTCAATTGAATTAGCGCTCGCGGAGAATGATTTCGTGGAGGATCATTTAATGTTCGTGGGGGATCATTTAATGTTCGTGGAGGATCATTTAATGTTCGCGGAGGATCATTTAATTTTCGCGGGTTGGCACATATGGTTCGTGGTCTGCTATCATGTTTTCGCACTGAATGATTGATAATTCGTGCGGATCAGTAAAGTGTTCATGCAGGGCTTCGTAATTCTTCGCATGTGGGTAGTCTTTATTCATGCTCTGGATCTCCTTATACGTGTTTGCTCAAGTTTATTTCATTGGGGGTGGGTCATAGTC